CCATAATGGGAGTTGGATATTAAGAATCTATGAGAAAGTTAGAAACTTTTATGCAAGAAGGATGTTCAAATGAATGTATTTTTAATGTGAGACTTCATTTCCGGGGAGTTGTCTTGTAACAATCTCCAGTGGAATACTTTGTAATATCATTGGCAAAGTCTCTGTTACTTTGGTACCTCGACATTACAAAAGGTACATTGCATGATAGTTAATAATCTAACACATCTACTAGTAATAAGAATTGGTATTCTTACACTAGTAATAAGAATTTGGAGTTGTGAAATGAGTTTCATTGAAGATGTATTCAATTGATCTATTTCACAAAGAAAGGACCATAGGTAAACATAGTGTTCATGCTTGGAGCATGGGATAACTATTGTTTTAATTCAAGTATAAAGTTGATAAATGGAATTATTATACAATGAATAATGCGTAATCAATATGGTGATTAAATAAAAGGTGTTTTATTTATATTCAAAAGTTTTGAGACCATATTGGATTCGATTATTCTTGTGTTTCACTTTGCATGTTTTGACTTCCCGAATAATAAAATTATTCAAACTATCCACAGTCGATCATACTTTGGAAGTAGGTATTGAAGCTAGATTGTTATGAATGGGTCTGTAGATTGTCTAAAGGTGTTTAGACATAGCACGAGTTTGCTGCAGTATTCATGAGTACTCCTATAATAAGATTTGAGTATTGGACTAAACCCACGCTCATTTGAATCACTTCATGGATTTTATCACGAGTGATCATGAGACAATAATATCTTATATTCTTGAAATGGAGAGATATAAGTTGCAGTTTACAAGTCGGTTGCACATTGATGATATGTAAACGCACCAGTAACTCGGTGTTATAAAACATATCATTGTGTGTGATTTGATGAATAAATAGAGCAAGCACATGAGTCAAAGTTTATCCATTCCTTTTACCCAATGTGGGATATAAGCGATATTTGTGGGCCCCTCGATGATTTAATGATGACAATCTTAAGCGCTTGGCCAAGCCTGGACTGATTTGATTTGTTCAATTAGTCGGTCGTCATAAGTCGGAAATCGGGAAACAACACATGAACAGAGAGAATGATTATAATCCATGTATCAGTTCATACAATATCTAGAATGGAGGAATATATGATCCCTTATCTTATGGACGCGTTACTAATAAGATCAGAGTTCTACAACGGTCTTTTTGAGAGCTACGATTGCTAATCGGATTTTGAAGTCGTACATGCAATAATAGTTATTAGACTTATCCAGGTGGGAGACTATTGGATTAGGTGTCTAAGCCCATAACTATAATTGGTATGTACTTGACCCGATACAAGCATGGTCCATTTGGGTTGTAACACTCTAGAACAATTTGATAGGATGGATATTTGAGAAAGAGGTTAATGTGTTGTATTAATATATTATAAGTATAATATATTAATTGAGAAATCATATTATTTAATTAGTATAGATCAAGAATTAATTTGGAATTAATTTAGTGATCAAAAGAGACTAATTAAATTAACGGGGACTGATTGTGTAAATCAGTGATTGGGCTAATGATCCATATTGATTAGTAATGGACTAAGTTCATGTAAGACTCCATGAAGAGTTAGTCCAAAGGGCTTATCATATGGATTATTGGATTAAGGCCCAAGGAAGTGGATTAGGGTTTAACTCTTGGATTCTACACTATATAAATGTAACCCCTAAGCCAAAAACCGTGCACTAGTGATTCCAAGAAGCTCTAGAAGATTTTTGTGTCTCTAAACCTCTCTCTCAAGTTACTCCTCTTGTTCTTGGTTTGTTATAAGACATTTGAGGCATCACACTTGAGGTGCTAGGCTCTTGAAAGACCAATTCCTATAAGCTACAATTAAGAGGTTTTCTTCTAACTTACTTTTATGATTCATATGTCAAATTTTATGCTAGTTGTAGGCTTCATGCTTTGGAAATTTTGTTGCATGTATAACTAGAGAAAACATTGATCCAAAGCTATTAGGGTTGTATGTGCACCATAGGAGTGTTATAGTACACAAAACTCAACAATTTTATCTATGTCAATGGGTTATAAGTCCATGCTAGCAACGCAATTCACTAGACCACCTAGAATAGTCAAGTGTTGTCATCTACTCTATTCGATGGCCCATACATACTTGCCAGTTGTCTGATCTGGACCCACCATTTCTGGTCATCCAAGAAAGAGGAGAAACACTCCGCTCTAATCTCACACACTTTACCCCAATCATGATACCTATTTAATGTCAAGCTTAATTTGAACTAAGCAACCTTTACAGATCTTATATTTAAACCTAAGGTAAGACTTATAAATAAGGGCAATCGAATTCCGATACTATTTCTAATCCAATAGTATTATCCTACTTATATAAATGCCATATAACATAGATAATACATGCAAAAATTTAATGTTTCATATAAATAATACTTCTATTATAATCTTGAAAATAACTACGCACTCACTTGTGTCTGGTGATTGGTGAATCGGGCAGAGCTTCGTCTTACACCTTTTCCAAAAGACCTAGATGTACATAACGCTAAGTCTTAGTATAATTTCATACTTCATGAACTATTATCCTACGGGTTTAGATTCCTTAATAATCCCAAAGTCTACTTCAATATCTAAACAAGGAATAACCAAATAGGATCATAAATGAGGTAGGGTCTATTTGATATACATAGTATACTGTTTGGAAATCTCACTTTAAACACCTCACTGAATCTAGCCTAGATATTACTCTTGTAAGTAGACCGAGCAGTATAACGATTTGTAATCATTGATAAATCTTAATTATAAGTTCATAGTAACGACTTATAACTATAATTATAAATTACACGGAAGCAAAGTAAGTGTATCTCACTTACAGAGGGCTATTGATGAGAACTGGGATCTAAGCGGGCATAATACCCACTCGAGATCTCCTACTCGAAGGCTATTACTCAGATGAGTACTTAGGGGCATCGCAAGGCTTCGTTGCAGGCCAGAAACTTAAGAAAAATGGGGCTACAATAAGGAAGATTCGAGAGAGAGAGAGAGAGAGAGAGATTGTAGGGGTGGGGAAAATGGACTGTACACTGATTGCTATTTATAGGGCGAAGAATACTCATGCGCGCCGCGCCGTAGAGGTGCGCGCCACGCATTCCGAACACGTAGATCCTCTCGTTTGCTGACACATGTCACTTTTCAGCTGGAGTAGCGTGACCCTTCTAGAAGCACACACGCGTACGGATTATCATATTTTCAAAATTGCATAACTTCTTCATACGAAATCTGTTTCCAACGTTCTTTATATCCCCGAAAATCTCTCAACGAGATCTACAACTTTCGTTTAGACTTCGTCGGCTAATTTTGACTCTATATTTTTCACACAGGCTTAGACTGTTAAAACTCGTATAAAAAACATAACTCTCTCATCCGGTGTTCGTTTTTAGACATAATTTATATCGTTGGACTCCTATCAACGATATTTTCGACTCTCATTTAGATTATTTTGGCTAAGAGTCGACTGATCTAAAACTCAATTTTTTAACTGAATACTGCTATAACAAAACTAAGAAAAATTATAACTTCCTCTCACAAAGTCAGATTTAGACGCTCTCTATATGTACGCTCTCGGTTTAACGACTACTATGACTTTCGTTTAGATCACTAAGGCTAAAAAGTAATTTATCAAAAATTTATTTTTTACAATACGCAGAGCCGTACCGGTTTAATCGCGAAACTTCGAAGAATTATAACTCCTTCATATGAAGTCGAATTTGAACGTTCCTTATATCTCCAGAATCTTTATAACGTAAACTATAAATAAGTTAATATTATTTTTCCTAAGTAATCTTTTATCTTCGACGTGTATTTTAATTTAATTTATTTTATTATTAAACACTCCTACAATTTACACATAATACCCTATAAAACACGTAAGCATACAAATATATGAATAATCATTTATTATTCATTCATACAAAGATTAAAATAGTTGACCAAGATGATTACAGATATGGCTTAATCTAGCAGGAAACGCGAGCGTTACAGTTTCCATCAAACATGTTTTAAAAATGTTAGTAGTAGTGATGGTTCCGAAGTGTTTAGTAGTGCTTCCTTTTTGGCTTCAGATTTTGGAGTAACTTTAAGCTTCTTCGAATTCTTATTCATACGTTTGGATGTCTCTGCTTTCTTCTTCGATGTTGCCTTCTTTGGAAAACAAATGGTAGCTTCCTTTTCGATTGATGCTTCGGGGGTTCAACCATTTATTCAGTTGTTTTTTGACACACAAGATATAGATATTGTCGATAAGCGACCAAAAGAAAATTATCTAAAGGAAGCTTTCAAAGCACAGTCTCAGGAATTTACCCATAAATTTCAAAAACATACTATTCTGAAAACTGTTGGTATATTAATATATGTAAACTTTACTATAGGTTGATACAAATCAAAATGTATCTTTGAATAATTGAATGTCACGACAACAGTCAGAGACCAATATCAATGTCATGAAACTGTAGAAGCATTTGTTGAATGATTGATACTATCAATAAATCTGCCACAAATCAAAACGTAGTCAATTGGTAGATCATGACATAAGCTATACTGGATCGGGCGAAACATCTAAATAGCATATTCTAGGCCATTTGTTCTTCCAGTGAGATATTGTGGCTGAATTTCAAATAAAAAGCTCCATATTGTAGGAAATTTATTCTTTTTGAACAAATAAATCATCTTGAGATATGGAGTGTGACCCATTTGGTTGAAATTGGTTGAAAGTAAGAAGAAGTTAAGCAACCAATGGAGTTTGAAATTGACCAATAGTAGTAAACCCAATAGAGTTGAAAATTTTATCTTTGTGATTTGCATAATTTTATTTGGAAATTTGAGTTTTGCCCAAGAAAAAACAACTTTCAAAATCAAGGTACTGATATGCCATTAAGTGGAATCACAAAGGGCTTAAAATGTAAAATGGAACGTTCATGACTTCATGTTAACGGAATCAAGAACAAAATAGGGTTTAGCATTCAAACCCCTCTCGTTATTACAATGGGGGATCGAGAGCAAAATCAATATGAAAGTCCAAGTCAAAATCAATACGAAAATCAAAATCCAAGTCAAAATCATGTCGGTTTCGAGAGCTACGTGGTGATACACAACATAGCAAAGCGGCACAATGTTGGTACATTAGCTCGTAGCGCCACCGCATTCGGCGTTTCCGAGCTCATTCTGGTTGGCCGCCGTGACTTCAACGCCTTCGGCAGCCACGGATCTACCTCTCATCTTCGCTTCCGCCACTTCTACTCCCTGTCCGACGCCCGTCTCTTCCTTAAGGTTTCTCTATCTTTACTCCCTGCTCTGTATATGATTATCTGCATCAATTTATAGATTTTTTCCCCGAATATAGTTATGAAACGCTTTGGCGACTCTTACAGGAGAAAGATTGTGATATATGCGGTGTGGAAATTACTGACAACGCGACAGCTGTAAATGGACACCCGTTTAAGAAAAACACAGCTTTTCTTCTCGGCAACGAGGTATCAGAATTCCATTTCTATGATTCTGTGGTGTTTAAACTGGAGATTGTTTCAATGGATAAAAAACGCTAGTCGTTGAGCTTTGAAATCATCTTAAAATAAGGGTTAAATGCAGGAATTAGCAACATAATTTCACTGATATGTTTATTATAGCATCCTACTTTATTTTTAAAAAAAGTATTATTTGCTGTTATCTACATTACAAGCAAGATCCAAAGATTTGTTATTTTAAAGAGATCTGAAGCGCCTGTGTTGCCATGTGTTGCATTGAATGAATACAAGATCATTGAATTTTTGTTGCAAAAGACAATTCCTTTTCTTGGAGTGGACTATGATCACCTATCCGACATTTTCGGTCACTTCATTTATCAATTTTATAATTAATCGAGCACTCTTCACATGTTCAGATGCATAGTTGATTCCAGAAATACTGTTTCAAGGGGATAATTGGCTAAGAATCTGATCAAGCGTTCTTTTCTGTCTGATCAAGCCTTTTTGTTCTTCGTGCATTTGAGGCTTAGTTTATTATAGATAGATGAAATGCTTTCAGCCATTAATGAACTTCTTTTTAGTTTATAATGTAATTCCATGAATCTATCGTCTTGTCTAAGCATAATATTAGTTTATCTTCTTGGTGAGGCATTTTATCAAACAGTTAATATGCATGCCAGATTATCATGTATTTGATGTTGGATACCAAGCCACACAAACCCCCAAGAAACAATTCCCTCAAACAAAGTTGACAATAATCAGATTAGTTATGTTGTTTTCTAAGATGTTTTTGCTTTTATATATTGCAAAATTTAACATCTATTTTCTACATTCGATTGCTACTTTTATTGCTTTATGCAACCAGAAAACCGAAACCAAGAAAACCTAAAATGTGCATAACATTCTAATATTGTTGTATTTTTTTTGTAGGGTAGTGGATTATCTGCTAAAGAATGTGAATTTTGTGATTATTTCGTGTATATTCCACAATATGGGTGTGGCACTGCTTCTCTAAATGTCACTGTTGCAGCTTCCATTGTTCTACATCACTTTGCAGGTAATATTTGTCACACTTTCCATAGTATGAGTAATAAAAAGGGTTAATGTCATAAATAGGTAATGAACTCACCTTTTTTTTTTTCAAAAAACATCATTGTTTTAAAAAAAAATGCTATCAGAAGGCAAGCATGGAACTTCATGTTTACAAAAAAATGAAAAATGGAAGTAGGTTGCTATTATAAACAACTAAATGATAGTACAATGCTATTTCAGACAATAACAATATCATGTTTGATTCTATATTTTTTTGCTTCAGTTTGGGGGGGATTTCCTGAGCGAACACGCGATGGGAACAAATTTGTTGTGGCAGAACGGCCCGTGCGTAAAGTGGGCCGTAACTTCTCCACAGAAACAGCCGAGTCTGTCACTGAAGAACGAAAACTTAAAAAAGAAAATGATGCCATAAACGGATTTTTTGATGAATCGCATGAAGACGATTCTTCTAAACTTCTTGATTCTGTTTTTGGAGATTAATTTCTAAAAAATCTTTACGGAGTTTTACTTGGATGCTCTAGGTAAATTGTAGTGATTTGTACTTTACTATTTTTAGTAATATCGACAATGTACTTTATTTTTTTTTTAACTATAATAGCAATGTACTCATATTTTTGTATCCATATAGCTATGTAGTTGCAGTTCCTCACAAATGGCAATTAGAATATAATATATGCATGCAATTTAAAAAAATTAGAATGTTTTGTTCCCTATTATAATCGTTTATTATCACTTACTTCAAACATTTGCTTAACATATGCATTAACCCATTTTCCCTTGACCCAAGGCTATTCAAGCAAATATATAATCATACTTTCTCTCAAAAGCTGATCAAAACCTCGAAGCCACTGTATGAAATAAAAAAAATACAATTACGCACAGCAACTAACTTTATACAGTAAAGAAAAAGATTATACAAAGTCTGTAGGGAGAAACATAATGAGTACCGTATCTATCCTCTTTTGCTGAAGACTATGTATTGTAATTGAAGGTCTTTTGCAGCAGGGTCCTCCTTAGCATCAACTTCATCATCATCATCATCTCCAGCTTCTTCTTCACCTGAGAAATCTCCATCTCCAACATCATTTTTTGGCTCCTCTGCATCATTGTCTTCTTCTTCATCATCATCCTCTCTGTCACTACCTTCTTTTTGCCTCTGGTTCAGTTGAGCTCTTCCTGTTAAGCTTGGAAAAAGGAAACATGTAAAAAAAATCAAGTTTTATAAAATTTTCAGATTATAATAACAAAAAGTGTTTGGGAATTGAGCACTACCTTTGATCATTTCCAATCAAATTCGGCAATGTACTTCCATCCTGAAGAAGAAGTCCCATCTGCTTAACAAAAAAACACAAATTTTGTTAACATTTCATGTCATATTGCCATCATTCCATCAAATGAAGGAAATTTGTAAAAAGTTGGGAGAAGGGTATGGATTCCTCACTTAGTCATACATTTTTTTACAAATTTGCCTATGTATATACTTTTTCTTTCCTTTTCCCCAAGTATTCAAGAACTTTTTCAAATATTTTTTAAACAGAATTTATCCTGATAGTATATAATAGAAAAAAAAGGGAAAAAGCAGGGTTCATCGAGTCAAAAAAGAACAGCAATAAGGGAGACAAGCTTGATGTTGAGTCAATGGAAAATTAACTGGCAACAATCTAAAAAATTTGAAAATAAAAAATCAAAAGATGAACTTTACTTCATAACCCAACTTAAGAAACTGATACGTGTGAAATAGTACTAGTTTTAATCCTACTAACTTAGACACAAAAATAAACACACGAAAGACAGTGTACCTATCGATTAACAATATAGTTTAAGCAAGTAGGGTATCGAACATTGGGAACGGTAACAATTAAATTAAATACTAGAATTATCTAAATAAAAACAAGTAATAAAAGGGGGTTTTCTCTAGTTTTGCAAGACTAGAAACTTAAGCATTCATATAACACTCAAACAAAAGACAATTAACAACTAAATGGAACAAAAGGCAACTAGATTCAATAAGATAAAGAGACTTCTATTTAGATTTCGATTCACTTATTCCTATGGTTGATTTCGTGGCAAGTGCAATGGATTAATATATCAATGATTACCGATTTCTAATGTGATTAGATTCATGTTCACTATTACTAATCCTTTAGCAAACAAGTCGATTCAAACAATGACCAATTGATTAAACTAACAAGTTTCCTAGTGTTCATTTCGAATCAAGTAAGACTTGTAATATTAGTTAACTAAATTTGTCAATTCAATCAACTTCATATGTGGTTGTTCATCACACATGCTCACACATTGACTTATTTATTTTCTAGTTAACCCTGGATTCATGTTCACTAATACTAGGCATACAATCTTGTTTTCACAAAAATATAAGATTCAAGCAATTAAGAAGATATTCATACAACTCAATAAACTTGATTATTAACAGAAAATAATTATCATTAACATGCAATGATCTTTTAACAAGCTTAACAAGATAAATAATTAAATCAAATTAATCCAAACCACTCAATCAAACCATATTCATAAGGTCATCTAGTCTAAACAGAAGTATGAAGCTTTTAGCTCATAACTACAGCAAATAACAATCTAAAATCCAAATCTAATGATTCAAACATGGTTCACACAAAAGATTAAGATAAAAGTAATGGTTGTTTGCCTTTGATCTCTTCAAAATTGACTTCTAGGTTGAATTCTCGAAAACCAAAGCTCCCAAGAACCCTTATGATCTTCAAAAGTCGCCAAAAGCCTCCAGAATGTATTAGGGTTTCGGTAATAAACGATAAATATATAGATTTCCAAAATATACACGTTTTACTTTATTTAAAAGTCGCCAAAAGCCTCCATAATGTGTTATCTGTGTTCTTGATATCTATGCTGGATGAACAAAATATACACGTTTTACTTTATTTAAACTGTATACGTATTTTATACCTACAATTATGATGGGTAAAGATGGGTAGATGAATGATGAGATGAATGATAAGAGATGAAAGATGATACAGATGATGAGTGGTGAAAGATGATGAGAAACCTTGACCCACGCGATGACCCAGTCATCTAGCAGAGTACATATGACAACCACAAACTATTCTAGACAGTCTAGTGGAACGCTAGCAAGCTCGCAACCTGTAGGTGTTGTGAACGATGTGTTCACCAGATGTACTCTAAAAACCTTGGCAGCTATGGACTTAGTGCCTCACAAATAAACGTTGGCAGCTATGGACTTAGTGCCTCACAAATAAACGTTGGCAGCTATGGACTTAGTGCCTTACAAATAAACGTTGGCAGCTATGGATTTAGTGCCCTATAGATGAAAATTGGCAGCTATGGACTTAGTGCCTAACATATAACATCGACAACTATGGACTTAGTGCCTGTTATATAAACCCTGGCAGCGATGATTCTTAGGGAAGATACTTAAGAATAAAAAAGATAATGGGGATGGGTAATTAGGTTAATTGTTTGATGATGAAACATAATAACTTTATTATTGTGGGTAGAAAACCCTATGTACTCACCAGGTTTCCCAACTTGACCCACTCAGTTTATTTGTATCACATGTATCGATACAAAGACACATTACACTGAGAGATTAAATGAGATGTAAATCATTAGTGTAAATGAATGTAAGGTCTGTTTATGCTTATGTTTATGTATTGACAATGACATCCCAAAGTTTTAATATAAACAAAATACATTTCTTCAGAAATGCTTTGATAATATTATTATCATGTTTTTCCTGGGAACAAATTCCGCAATACTACTTTTTAAAATGGATACTCTGATTTTTAAATAAGCATAAATAAAATTTTTAAAATGACTGTGAATTTGGGGATGTCACACCGTTTCCATCTCTGAAGTACGCTAAGCGTACACTTCATTACGCATGGCGTAACCACCTTCGCATCAGTACGCCCCACGTACTCCCTTGGTACCCCCCGCGTACTAGGGTCTTCCCTCAAACCCTAATTCATTCCGAAGGCCATAACTTCTTTGATACAACTCCAATTTCGACCATCCTTATATCCATGAAAAGGTATCGAGAAGCTCTACACTATTATCAACTCATACTTAACTTAAAGTTCACCGAACACAAAATCTAATTTCCATAAAAGCCCGCTGCCAATTCACAAAATACCCCTTGGCACCAAAACCAATTCCAAATGCCCAAACCATCTACATTTCATCACCCACGCCCAAATGGGTAACGATTCGAAAAAGGGTGTTACACCACTGGCCTTATAGCCTTATACATGAAACCCTAAACCTATCCTTTGTGTTTTGAGCTCATTGTGTCCATGTTGGTGTGTTTTGGACCATAATCAAGAAGTAGAAGCTTGGTGCAAGATTGTTGATCAAGGAAGAGTTTGTGGATCTTGATTCTCCACTCCATTTACAGCTTGCTTGTGGTAAAAAAAACTTTGATCTTGTTCATTAGTGGTTTAGATCTAGCATATATGAGTTTTGGACCCCCTTTTTGGCCCATGAATGAGATCTAGTGGTTTGACACCACTCCAGGAGCTTTGAGTTGCCACTCTTGGTGTTTTTGAGGTCCAAAGTCCATAAAGTTGGCACCTTTAGGGTTTAGAATTACCCATGCATGAGATTGTGTTCATTTAGTGAAAGTAGAGTGCTATATCTTGAAGTTGGATCCTTTTGGGGCATGTAAAGTCACCAAGTCAGTGACTTTATGGTTCTAGACGCTTATTTAGACTTAGATATATGGTTTGGACTTCCGGACTTAAGCATTAAGTGCTTAAAATGGATTATGGCTTAATGGGTGAGTACACTGGTCGTACAAGTCTGTACGCGCGATGTACAAGCCTTTTAGCATGTACGCTTAGCGTACAGCTGAGTACACCCCGCGTACTCAGTCAGTTGGGATTTTGCACTTTGGGCTTCGAGTTGGGCCATCTGAGAGCAAGTGTTTTGGAATAGGAAAAATTATCGGGCTTTAGGGTAAGGCCCATGTAAGGTTTGGGCCCAATTTGGAAAATTGGGCCAAGTATGGGCCTTGAGCGGTTAGTTGGATTTTGGGCCTTTTGGATTATAGGTTTGGGCCTAAGTCTTGGTCCAAACTAGGTCAGGGGTAAAATGGTATTTTTTCCATAATTGAGGACTTATACCTATGGATTTGGAATCCAATTATTAATTGGATGTTGGTTGGTATTAATAGCTCGGGGATTCGTCGGTTCGCAGCAACAACGAGTGTAGGATCTTTTATCTGTCGATTGAGGTGAGTTTCCTCACTGGGTTTAGCGGGTCTAAGGCACCAATGCCGGCCCTTATTGTTTATGTTAGGATGCTAGGTGTCTGCGTGACCCTTGCATGTGTTATGCGCTGCTATGAATATCGGGCGGGGCTCGATGTCGGGCGGGTACCGATGATTGAACAGTATGCTATTGTTTTATGATCATTGTATGTGTTAGCATGATTATGTGATTCCGCCTTAATTCCTGTTCCTTGTTTGGTTGTGGATTTTGGGCAGAATTACTCAGTCGACTGTCTTATTCATCTTAATTATTCATAACTTGTATATGTCAGGCAATCATAGTGGTACCGAGGAGAATCTTAGTATAAAGTATCGACACTAGTT